TTCCGGAACATAAATATATTTTATAAATATTAGAAATAATAATAATAATGTTATTGTATAATAATAGGTTTTGATATTATTCTTAGAATCATTTAATTTTATAGTTCTGACAAAGAAATCATTTTTCCGACGTGATTTCACATTCACGTTTATGTTTTACACTAAAATTATTATAAGAATAAAAAACTTATATTTATGATGTTAAAACTTATATTTATGATGTTGTGAATATAATAGACAATATGATGATAATGATACTACATTATACAGAAGAGCAATCGAAAAGATAAAATAATACTAATAATACGACGTTACGTTTTTATATTTATTCTACGTTACAGTAATATAAATACTATAAACAAAAGTAGACTATAATTGTATCTGTACTATTATATTATTATTTAGAACTTAGGCTGTAAGTATGTTATAACTTGTTCCATGGAGTTTTAAATTTCATTTCATTATATTTTCATATTATGCAGATCAAAAGAGGGAAAAAATTACTACAAAATATGAAATTCACATGTTTATAAGCTAAATAATATAAAGTCTATTATAGAAAATACAAAGAAAATATTCGATAAAGGAATATTATTATCGAAATTTTACCGTGGCAAATCCCTCGAGCGATGGAATGAATAAACCAGTAAGGACAATTGTACAGCATACTTCTTTGCATCATAAGCAGTAATAATTTCTGCGCTCTTAACAGAGCTATATACCACTGCATGTTATATCTAAAAATTTACTATTAGAAAATCTCTCTCATGACTAATAAATCTTGATAAATTATAGATTAATTTGTTTTTAATCCTTTATTACTCGCGTGATATGTTCATTTTATTTACACTTAATCTTCTTATATATAATATAAGTATAAGCAAAACAAACATTCCTAGATAATAAAAGAATTTCTAAAATTATACTGACGGAATCAAATAAGAATTGATTCGTATGTTACGCACATTCTATGAAAGATATTGCTGCTATGGTCAATCACTTTTTGTCCAAAATAATTACCGAAAAACATGTTCCAAAAATGATCAATGACAAACAGAACATTAACGATTATATCATAATATTTCTTAGACGCTATCAATCGAGAAAGTTATAGTATAAAAATGATAAATTTGCTTCTGTATGGAAGAAACACATTAATATCGCATTCATAGTCAGACCTTATATTCAGGGCTTCTTTAAATTTAATTTTATATGCTCAATAAAATAATTTGTGGAGCATCTGAAGATAAATTTAAGGATTCTTTAAATATAAGGCTTGAATATGTCGGAAAAATGTTTAATCAAGATATACAGATATATGATATATGTAATATAAAATAATTGTACATTAATTATTACTCACGTGATAAAGATTAATGCTCAATGATAAGGACTGTCCAAGAATAAATCTTCCCATACAAAAACTCACATATCCTCCAAACCACTTGACCGATTTTCAAAAACAAACCCATTTTAGAAACGTCTTTTAATTACAATTAAAACTATATTTAACAAAATTCTTAAAAACTACTTTTGACAAAAATTTTTAATTTTTTCTGGAATCCTTTCCATCATACTTTTTATGGTGGCCTCGGTCACTTCCTCGGATGCCCTCTTTCTTCGCTCTGAAAAACTCTTTTTCCTGTCAGATCCTTCTATAGTCAAGTCTTCCTTGAAACGCCTATTGACAAACCGTTTTCACAAACTCCTGCCTCCCACGCGATTTTGATGAAACTCCACTCTGGGTGTTCTTGAAAAATTTTGATTATGGATTTTCTACTTTACTTGCCATTTTGCAACTGAGAACAAAGCGATTACGAAACTAACTGTTTCCATCGTTTCTTACATTCATTGCAAAGCCTACTAAATTAAAAAAATGTTTTTTTTTTTTAAAGTGGTTTGGAGGATATGTAAGTTTTTGTGTCGGAAAGTTTTTTTCTTTCCTTAGTACTCCGAACGCCAATAATACTGAATACGCTTATATATAATTTCTTTTAAACATTTCAATAAATCTAAATAACAGTGAATCTTAAATTAAATAAAAAATAATAAATCTTAAATAAAAAGCATTAAAAAAATCTATTCATATTCATATTGACTATATATTCATAAACGTAATGATTATAAATAACTACTTTCATTATATGTGTTAAGTCATCCAACTTGTCAGTTGTAGTATTTGTCAGTTATATGTGCTAATAATTTACTCTTTATAAAATTTAATCTATACTTGAAACAAGATGGATTAAAAGATTCGAAGAGAAATCACAGTGCACAATAAAAAAATCTAATTGTACATGAGATAATTACGAAGTCAATTGCTTTTTTATACATATTGAATCCACTGATTAATCCTTGACATGTTATCGAATCTTCTTTCGGAAGAAGATGCAATATCTTGTATAGTATCTTCGAGCAATGTTTGTTCTATGCGATAGCTGAAATTGATAACATAACCGCAACACGTTTTGGCCTAAACACTATTAAAATTAATTCAATTTTTTGGAAAACGTAACTTTGCTTTACCTGACTATTTCAAATAAATAAATATTTCCGCACGCATGATGTATGTAACATAGTAATCGTTTCTGCTGCAATCACAGTGAAAACGCATACGGCAGCAAAAATGGTAGAAAAAACAAAATTAAAAAAAAATTTTTTTGTTGATCTATAAAACATTCAACTAGGATTGGCAGCTATCGTGGACGGGACTCATTTTCAGATGTGATAGTCAAAAAAAGGTTTGACAGAAATAGCATCAGAATGCAGCAAAAAACACATACGTAGATAAACACTGTAATTAAACGATTAAAATCTGAAAGTGATCAAATCTAATATACGAAATAAATAATTTCAAAATATTGCTTACATGTTAATTAATGTGATGAATCTTCCAATATTTGCATATTCTTTTATTATTTTAATTTCTTGCAAATTATTCAATTCATTCCAGTCACAAAGTATTCGTTGCATAAGATCTTGCATCTGTGTTCATAAAATGAATGTTATTTATTATCTTTTTCCGAAAATATCTTTAATAAAATTGATAATTATCATATCATTTTCTTTTCCTCTAAGTTTTATTATAAGTTTGATTATAAATTTTATTATAAGTTTTCCGATTCTTACCCATCTTGTTTATGCAGAGAACATTATATTTTAACGTACAGCCTAGCCATGAAATACTGTGCGCGAGGACATGCAGAAGAATATCTACATTGTATTCTGTTGTGATGAAAGTCGTTAGCTAAAAGTGACATTCTTTGCTATATTGTTTCTACTTTTATATTAACAATAATATAGAAGTTAACAAGAAAATGTTTTTTTAATTGGATCAAACAAAATTTTTCTTTTAGATTTTTATTTTAGATTAGATTAGGACGCTGAAAACGATGTTACAAGCCAAATTTCATCAGTACGTCAGGTTTCCGAAATATTTGAGATGTAATATTCTAAAAATAACTTTTTTAGAGTTATTTATCTTTTTTTTTATAGATACATATTATCCCGATGTTCTAATCATAAGCATGTATGTTAATGTATTTATTTCTTATAAAATGAATTCTTATAAAATGAATTAAAAAAAATTTTAATATCTTATTTTTTAGCCATGTTATAAAAGGTTTAAAGGCATAAAAAATAACATAAAAAATGATTGTACCTGAAATGCCACAAATGATACAAGCATTATCGTTGTAAACGCTATTGCGATATATTTAAAAGTAAATTTTTGATACGGCCATAATCCGATACAAAGTAACAAACTCCGATTAATTGTATAGTAATCGATTACCGGACAATCTTGCCATCTCAATGCAAGCGTCATAACGTGTGCCGAATTTCTTTCCATAAGTTATTTCATTGGTTCATTTTATAGGTTTTGTATGTTTGATTGTAGTTTATAATTCGAAATTCGTATGTATTTAAATAAAATACTGAATTATGAATATGCGAAAAATTACAATAGAATATCTATAATTTATTGTAATTATACAAATTATAATTTTGATGGAAATTTGATCAGTGTCTATATTAATAACCCTCAGATAAACATTATTTGCATGAATCAATTACCTTTTTCGCGAAAATATATGAAAATATTTCTACATTCGATCGACGCAAGCACATTGATAAAATCACGTTTTTACGAGTAACGAACAATCTTCATTTCTATTCGAGACGCAGAACGTGATGCTTTTTTTGTGATATGTGTGTGCGATATGTGCTAATGCATTAACAGCATTTCTAATTAACTAGAAAAATCACTGTGTTATAATCATTGAAAATGTTTTCTGACAAACTTTTTCCTGACAAACATTGTAAAAATTATATTGTGAAAATTGATTGTGGATTATACAAAAATTCTTAATCAGTTTTGCAAGCTGTCATAATTACAGATACAATTTATCTAATAATTGTACTGTAATTAGACTTAAAACAATGAAAAATTTTTATTAAATAATAACTACTGTTATTATTAAATTAGTTTCCGTGTTATTAAGATTAAATTGCTGGAATATAAATATATTTTATAAATATTAGAAATAATAGTAATAATATCGTATAATAACTTGGATTACATCTCCTTTAGAATCGTTTAATTTTATAATTCTGCCAAACGTATCATTTTTCTGACGTAAATTCATTTTCACATTATCTTACACTAAAATTATTATAAGAATAGAAAGCTTTTTTTTGATGTTATTGCGAATATAATAGAAAACGCAATGGTATCACATTCTATGAAAGAGCACTTGAAGAAAAATAAAACTAATAATACATTATATTTTTATGTTTATTCTACGTACAGTAATATAAATACTCTAAACTAAAGTAGACTATAATTGCATCTGTATTATTATTATATTCTTATTTAGAAAGTATGCTATAAGTATGCATAATTTGTTTCGTGGAATTTTAAACTTCATTTCTTCATTTTATGCAGATAATTAAAAAAGGGAAAAAATTATCGCAAAGTATGAAATTGACGTGCTTACAAGCTAAATAATATAAAGCCTGTTATAAAAAAATTTAAAGTAAATATTTTATAAAAGAATATTATTACCCAAATTTTACCGTGACAAATCCCTCAAACGATGGAATGAATAAACCATTAACAACAATTGTGCAATGTCGCATACTTCTTTGCATCATAAGCAGTAATAATTTCTGCGTCTTTAACGGAGCTACATACCATTGCACGTTGTATCTAAAAGTTTATTATTAAAAAATAACTAAAAAATCTTGATAAGTTATAGGTTTGTTTTTTATCCTTTGTTATAGTCGCGTGATAAAATGTTTGTTTTTCTTATATTTAATATTCTCATATAAGCAAAATAAATAGCTCTAGATAAAAAAATTTCTAAAATCATCAACTGATGTAATCAATTAAAGGTTGATATATATGTTACGTACATTCTATGAAAAACATCGCTGCTATGATCAATCACTTTTTGTCCCAAATAATTATAAAAAAACATGTGCCCAAAGTGACCAAAGACAAACAGAAAACTAACAATCATTTCGTAATATTTCTTGGACACTATTAACCAAGAAAGCTACAGTATAAATATGATTAATTTGCTTTCACACGGAAAAAATTAATGTTCTTATTCATAATCGGATCTTATATTTAAGGGTATTCCTTAAATTTATCTTTAGATGTTCAGGAGCCAATAAAAATAATTCGTAGAGCATCTGAATGGAAATTTAAGGAAGTCTTTTATATAAGGCTAAATATGAATATCGATAAAAACTAATCAAGTCTAA